GCTCCTTTCATTTCAGATCAGTAATTCTTCTCCCCATCCCCCATATGGGCACCTAGAGTTTTCACCATCTTATCAACACTCTGTCTTTGACCCTCACCTGGGCACCTCTGCCTACATTCTTTCTGGGCATTTAATTCCTCCCTGCCCGTTGGTGATAAATAAGTGTGTATGTGTGTGAAGAGGAGTCACAGAAAGGTAGCTTAGAGTCAATGAACAAGTGCATCAAAGCATCAAAACCATGAAGGTAGCAACTGCAGGAAGTAGCTACCATCCCTGTATTATAGGCAGCTAAGTTAGATAGAAATTAATAAACAGTCATAAAAGGACTGGGCTGTCAAGAAAGTCAGAAGAAAAAGAGGTAGCAGAATTGTCACAGGAGGTGCTTCTGAAGACCAGGCCTCAAGATGAGGATGCAACAACTAGGTCTACATACCTCTCCTCAGGGATAAGCAATAACTTGAAATTATACTATAATTGGTATAAACTGGTCCAGTAAATCAGATCAACACTAGTCACCCAGGTGGGTAACAGAGCATCTGGACCCATCCCTTCTCCAAAATGCCATTGTTCTTTCCACGTGCTCTTGCTACATGACCTGCTTCTCTATTGGCTCAATATTAGCTAAGCATCTATACTTGTAATCTTATTGATTGATTAGAGTTTGACCCACATGTACTTACCTCATGATTTTGCTCGATAAAACATTCTTAGGAAAGTGGCCTCAGTAGCAACCTACTCTTGGGTCATCTTCTGTCTCATGGGAGTTATCTCTCAATAAACTTTTCCTACTCTTAATCTCTGATGTTTCTTAGAATTCATTCTTCAGTTTGGGGGACAATAACTCAGCATATCTGAAATCTATGAGATTGGGAGTCATATTTTCCCTTATATTACCTGGGACTGGCAAAGTGAATGAAAGTGGTTGAATTATTAAAATTTAGAGAAGAGACCTTGCAGAGGTAAAACTCAAACCTCTAAAGCAGGGGTGTATTTCATGTGTTGGTGTCTCTGGACTCGAGTAAGTGGCCCTGTAGACCTGAGATCAAAACCAGGATGGAAGGACTGGCTCTCAGGTGTCTCTGAGGTTGAGTTCATGATGAGGTTGGTTTGAAAACACTAGAAAAGCTGCAAGTTGGATTCTACTTCTGCTATGGAAAGATATTACTGCTTCTGAGTGAAGAAACCTTGCTGTAGTGATCTTACAAAAACTACAAGGTGACTAGAATTCTATGGGTGAACAAAATGGGGAAAATGTGTCATGTCTCTCTTTTGGCCTTCGCTGTCTCCTCTCATACCACCTACTGACATTCTAATGGGGCAGCTGGCTATGCTGAAGTGGTGTTTCTGGAGTTTCAGGGCAAGCACTACAAAACCGAGATAACAACTATCATAAAACCTGTTTGAAACTAGACCACTATGAGGTCCCTGAGGATGGAATAAGGTAACTAACTATCTTACACTTTTAATGTAAATTTGTAGATTTTTTGACTCTCATTATAGAAAAAGAATTTTTAGTATGTTCCAGTAAAAGGGCCAGGAGAAGGGTTTATTGGGGTGCACTCCATTCTTTAATGCAGGTGTTCAGAGAAAATGAGACATGCTACAGATTGGAGTAGGGCATGTCTACAGATGTGTATTCAAGACAAGTCTGTTCCCTGTCTGTCAGGTTACAATGCCCTACATATGATCGAAGTTGAGATATATTACCTGCCAGTATTGCTGCTTCATGTGGATAGAGGAAGCCCAATTAACAGGTGAAAAGGACGGGTCTTATGCCCTAACTTACAGGTTATTGTAAAAAGAAGTTTAAGGATTTAACAGCATTTTGTGTAAAATCAAAGGGAGGAAGTTACAAGCTGGAGTGGTCTCCAGAACCAGGAAATGTTTGTCATGAAGCTGCAGTTTTTCTTAAAAGTACAATTTTAAATCTTGATACCCTCATTTCCTTTTGGTAAGGCTCGAATTGGATGTGACTCTCCCAGCACTCAACTCATTCATCAGCTCAGTGGAAACTCAGTTCAGTGCCACAGAAAACACAAGATGTTGTAAAAGAGATAAGATAAAGAGAGAAAGACTTTGTCCACAGAAGGGCAAGACAGTCAAAAACTTTGACTGAGATTCATTAACATTTTCCTGCCTAATGTCCCTTGCCTTCCTTCAAATCCTTGTAAAATGAGCTTGCTTCTCTTTGTTCCCTACAAATAATCTTTTTGCTTTCTGTCTGCCTGCATCCAGGTACCATAAGCTTCATATTCTGTTGCCTTTACACAAGCGTGGTGGTCTCTGCTGGTTTCTGACTCCTGCCGTTTCTTACATTTTCTACCTAAGTGTTTTCTTCTGTTCTACCTCATCGAGAAATTCATATTTTGCCTTCTTTCCTTTCTCCATAACATCTCCCTCAGTGCTCAGCGAAATTTCCTCAGTGTAATAGAATTTGGAAGATGATACTGAGATAGCTCGGACTCCGGAATAAAATCCAAGGAAGCAAGGAATTAAGAAATTTGGAGCAAAGGCTTTTATTTCAGGCCTGGCGACGCAGCCCCCTTAGGATTGACCCAGAGACTTTGTGCCAACAGACTAAGGAAGGGATTTTTAAAGCTACAAAAAAACCCACAGAGCTGTTAAGCTGTGACTTAGGCCTGACAACATCTGGAAACTGTAAAGCTGTTGACTTAGTTCTGAAAACATCTGGAGTTTTTGGTGCATTTTTACTCCCACCCTGCAGTTAAACATTATCTCAGAACAGCACACCTGCAATAACATGCAGCAAAGAAAGTAGGGAGTTAATTATCTTGGAACAGTTGGTTAGCAATAACATGTGGAAAGGGGTAAGAAGTTACAAGAAGCTGAAACTTAAGCTTTTACAAGGATTAGGAAGAACCCTATCGGACGGCACATATAGAACAAGAGGAGGTGCATTGGTTAGAGTTAAGCCATAGCAATGCAAGACCAATTTGACCTACATTTCCTTGCCACTTTGTTTTATTTGTTGGTTTTTTACTTTTGAAATTTTTTTATTTTTAAAAAACAGAAAAAATGGTAGAAATTATACAGAATTTCAAAAAATAACATTAAGAAATCATCACTAGTTGACACATTACATATTGTTATCTTAGAAGTAGTTGTTCAAGTTATAAAATCAAAGGATAAAAATGAATAGAAAATCAAACAATGACAGAACAAACTATTCTTTCTGATGAACTAACAAAACTTAGTAGTATGGTTATCTATCTTGCACACTTAAATATACATACAGTTATATGTGTATACCTACAAGTTGTTCTTTCCTTTTGAGCACTTTCTTTCCCTTTCATTGTTACAATGTCTATTGTACATTTTGGATCTTATTTCTCTTTCAGCTTTTTATTATTTATTTTTATACTAGAGAGACAATACAATATTTCTAAATGTGAGTGTGATTTATTTCACTTATGAGTATAGTCTCAAGTTGCCTCCATTTACCTATAAAAGCCTCAAGATCATCCTTTTTATTGCTGAGTAATATTCCATTGTATAAAAATACCACATCTCTTTCATCCATTCTGCAGTTGATGGGCATTTTGGTTTTTTACAAAATTTAACTATTACAAATTGTGCTTCTATAAACATGGGTGAGCAAATATCACTGTGACATGACTTTTTCAATTTTTCTGGGAAAATATTCAGGAGGGGACTAGCTGGATTAAAGGGGACTTTCCATCCCAGTTTTTTTAGGAATTTCCATCCTGATTTCCACAGTGGCTGCACCGGTCTACACTGCCACCAACAATGGAGAAGTATTCCTTTTTCCCCACTTCCTTGGCACTTTATCATGATACCAGTGACTCTGAGATATTTGTATTTCACTGACTAGTAAATATTCCATATTTGTGGTGACTCAGAGTTGACTCCATCTTAATTTTGTCAAGTAATGTCAGTAAGTAATCTCCATGACTTTATTAATGAATTGTATTTTTAACTATCGAAAACTCAGGAAGCACATAACATCAGATTAAGGGGTAGCTATTAATTGAATTATCTTTTTATTTTTTAACAACTCACTGTGAAAATCAAATACTGAGGAATGAAAAGAAAAATTATTGATGTTCTTATATTTGCATGGAAATTGAGGCTCTTAACCTATCCTTGTCACCAGTAAATCATGTTTTCTCCACTCTCAGGCAACAGCAATATTGGTGGGCAGCATATTTCTACTTCAAATACATGTAAATGGTTTGTACACTAACTTGACAGAATATACATTCTAGGGGCTGGGGATTTAGCTCAGCGGCGTAAGCACCTGCCTTGCAAGCAGGCGGTCATGAGTTTGATCCCTGGTACCGATAAAAATGAAAAAGACAAAAAAAAAAAAAAAAAGAATATACATTCTAGATCACCACCTTGAAGACACCCTCTTAAACCCACCTAACTCTGGATTGTAACATGTCTCATTTCTTTGAGCACTTGCACTCTACTCGAGTGCATCCTAAAATAAACCCTTCTCTGTCTCTTTTACTGATGCATCCTGAGAATTCCTTTTCCATGATGGGAGCCACTGAACTTGCAGACTTATTTTAAAGGGCTGGGATAGGTTCCTTATTTTCAGCCTTGTGGACTTAACAGATTCAGCCCAGTGATAGGTTTAGGACACAAGATAAGAGCCAGTGGCCCAGGCATCACTGATTTTGTCAATTAATTCTGCACTAATGACCAAAGCTCATTCTAACTTTCAAGATAAAACTTAAATAACTTTCAAAAACACTGGTTACAAGCTGTTCCTTGCCCTTGCGTATTTGAATTGTTTTCTTAAAACGAACAAGCCTCTCTTGGCTCGAAATATTGTGTTTACATTTCTTGCATGTCTTCCAGTCTTCCTACTCTTTGCAAATAGTCTTTACCTGAAATGCTTAAAGTTCCTTCTCCCCTGATGTGGGTACCCTTTACATTTGTTACCAGTCACTTAGGCTTATATTTTCAAGTTCCTCTGTTCACCGCTGATTCAATCAAAGGAGGCTATATAATTGGGTAAAAAAAGAAACAGTATTTATTGAAAGTTAGCTCTGAGGAGACAAAAGGGTCTACTTGCCTCAAGTGACCATCTTTCTGGTTACAGGCAGGCAAGAAAGTTTTATAGTAAGGGATAGAGTATGAGGAAGCACAGAGAGATACTGCAGATCTTCACACTTGTTTTATCATCTCCAGTCACCTTCAGTTCAATGTCCCCTTTTCTGTGGTGTTGGAGACCACTATGAAGCGGCTCTGAGCAGGATTTAAATTTTACTAATTGGCTTTCTATATTCATCTGTGAGTCTGTCCTAGGCCTTGGTCCCTTGCCTGGTGATGGGAGCTGATTCATAGTAAGGGAACCTCTAGGAGTCACTGGTCCTGGCTGAGGCCTGTAGTGGCCTGTGGGGCCAGAGATACCTCAAACGGCAAGATAAGGCCACAGCTGCGGACACTCTGGCTCCAACCCCAATTAACAGTGTAGAGACTGCAGCTGCAAAGGTTACTCTTGCAGTTTCATTTCTACCATGTCTTCATGATAAGACAGTTCTAGTAATTGACTTGATTCATGACGTGGAGATGTCTTTGAAGTGACTCCCAAGGTCCTGCTCATTGCCTGCACTTTCCTCAGTTTCTCTGCCCTTTGTCCTTGGTCTTAATATAAGTGGACTGATCCAGAGAATCCTTTGTCTTAACCCTCAAAGTCTCGAGCTTAATTAAAGGGTTTTGACCCTCCTGGAGCCCTAAAAATGTATACAATTTGTCTCTTCTTATTTAACCTCCACTGTACACTCGTTTGGGAGATCGGGGATCTAGGATAGAACCTGATACTGTGGAAAGGAAACTGAGCTCCATCCCTCCTGATGTTGGCATCTGAATATTCTTTTCATTCATCTAAGCTAACAGGAGGTGGGGGAAGATGGTTATGTTGTAGGCCTCAAGAAGCCACTAGCTCCAAAGGGGAAAAAAAAAACAACAAAAAAATAAAAAACATCTAACTTAAAGTTCAATTTTGTAGTGCTAATTTGGCTAAAACTCAAAAAGCCAAAGCAGGCCTGTAATCTCAGCACTTGGGAACTGAGGTAGGAAGATCACTGCAAGTCCCAGACCAGCCGGGGCTACAAAGTGAGCTCAAGGCCAGCCTGAACTGCATAGCGAGACCCTGTTTCAAAAAGACAACCATTAAAAGAAAAAAAAAAAAAAAAGCCAAAGCTACATACTCAAATCTCCAAAGCTGAGGTTGGAGAAGTACAGACTTCTGGGCTTGCAGCCTATAAGGTTTGGGTGGTCCAGTAGCTGTTGGCAAGAGGCAGCTGCTCAGCTGTGGTTTAGATTAACTGGCCTGACTTTGGTTTAGCTGCTCTTTCTCTGTGTTCTGAGCAGTGGTCAATGAGGCATAATGGAAGAAATAAAAACTAGGTAAAAAGGAGATAAGGGAAACCAGATTTTAAAATTGTGATTCAACTGTAGTTTTAAGACACAAATTTACTCAAGTCTTTTTTCCTTTCAGGAAATCACTCAATAAAATTCTAATGGTCTTAAAGACAATATGCCTGTAAATTCAGGCTTGAACCTATATATTTTTTTCACCTTTAAACTGTGCTCCCTCTACCTCCAAGTCAACAGCAATACTAATGGGCAATGATAGTGATATAGTGATGATTTGGACTTCCAAATAATTCAAATCATATGAGGGAAATATTATAACTCCCAACCTGCTGGACATCCAATACCTTGAGTTTGTGTTCCCCAAAAATGAAGAATAAATTCTAAGGAACAACAGAGGTTAACAGTAGGAAACATTTATTGAAAGAAAGACAGAAAAGGACTAGAAAGAGGGTTGCTAGGGACTCCACTTCTCAAGGAAGTTACTTAGAGAAAAATTATGAGGCAGTTATATGATGAGACAAAACTATGGTCAACTAACAAGACTACTGATTGCTTAGGTAATATTAATTCAGTGGAAAATCACAAAGTGAGTATAATGTGGGACAAAACTATGATGGACCAATAAGGTTACAAGTAAAGTTACTTAGGTAATACTGGTCAAATGGGGAAGCAAATCAGATAGCAAGTATACATGCAATAAACAAGGACTTTTCCTGGAAGGTATGGGACAAGGAGGTTTTGGTCCCATACCCAAGGTAATCGATGCTATTTAGAATATCAGGCATTGTTGCTCATCTCTCAGAAGTATGTAGGTATAGTAGTTTCCTTTATCCTGAGGTCTGACCTTCATTGAATGTGCCTCCAGCCACAGTTGAAATGTGTTCTTATCTTCACTGACTTCTTTCAGGGGCTAGCTCTACTTGACTGCCTATAATATTTCTAACTAATGTAGCCATCTATAATAATAGATCTGGTGGCCCCCATCTACCACGGCCACCCAGCAGAGTTTCTAAAATGGCTGTTCCCATCCTTCTGAGTCCAGGGACATGATATACCCTCCCCACCACCTAGGACACACTGCAGCCACAGTAGAATGTTAGCCATTGCTATGGCCGCATATTCAGCTATTCTTGCTACCCCAATGTCACTTACCCTCACCTCACTTCACCTAAGCCTATTCCATTAACCCTCCCTAATCCTATCTATAGTAATCCAGCTCAATTAACTTGAACTAACATCCAGTACCAAAACCTTCACTTAGACCAACGCCTCTTGAGCTGTGTACCTAGACAGTCTTCCCCCAAAGGCTTAACTGCCCCACTTATTCAGTCAGGGTCTCAGCCACTATCTTGACAAGATTCCACCTCTCAAATGCTCCAATATGTTGATAATATTTTAATCTCCATAAGATTATCACTCAGACACCGCTCTCCTTTCTTTTTACAATTAACCTAGACTACTATTCAATACCTAGGGCTCCACTTTATCCCATGTAGTGGCCCATCACTACTGATCACAAAGCTCTCATCCAATCATTTCCTCTCCAGACAATATTTCCCTACAAACTCATCTCTAGGTTCCTAACTTTGACCTCATAGCCAGACCACTTTATAAGACCTCCAAAACAACTCATATACCCTTATGCCTTGTCTAGCTCAGGATATTCACAACTGCCTTCAGACAACACAATCATGTTCTCAGACACTTTGCCAATGTGCACAGAAACACCAACACATAGTCAGCCAAAACCTGGTTCATAGATAAAAGCACTTTCCAAATTCCTAGTAGGCACTAGGTGACATATGCTATTGTCTCTAGCTGCAGACACATAATATCCTCTCCTGCATTAGACATGCAATTGAGACTCTTATCACTCCCCTCAAAATCACCTCACAACAGACAAATTTCACAGCCCTAACCCGAACACTTATCCTAGCTCCCTCCTAGCTTCTCATTACACAGAATCACTCATCATTAACGGAGGCCACATAAAAACTCCCATAAATACACCCAACCTGCCATTAATAGCTGTCCTCCACTTCCTGTCTCATCAAGCCATATAGCCCAAAACAATCTCCCTGACAAAACAGCCAAACACACTGCTCCCACCCAAGTTCCAAACCCCAGTCACCTTGCTCTACTTCTCTTCTTTCATCTTCAGCCCGCGTTATTCCCTAGAAAACAAAACAAAACAAAACAAACAAAAACCGCTAACCTTTCCATTAAGTTCTACCATCACTGGCCACATTTATTATCCTGGTCCTCCTCCAGAAATGATCCTTGTCAAAACAAGCCACAGCCTGGGCCTTTTAAACTAATACATGGTGCCCCTTTCTTCTGGGCCCCATTTCTCCCTACTCATTTTCTAAAAAATTACCCAGTCACCTCAGGCCATTCAAACACTCCTACACCATGTATTAACTCTCTGCTTCCCTGTCTTCGCACTCACTGTTCCCCTCCACTGTCACCACTGGCCAACAGGTCCAGCTCAAAACCCTGAAAAGGGGCACCCTTCAAGCGATGTGGGAGAGATCCCTCACCACCCCATTCCTTCTTCCCTTCCCTGCCCACTTCCCACCATACCCTTCTTACTACTGCTCTTCCAACCTAAGACGATGTCAGGCTGTTCTGTACCTCCCCTGCAGGTTTCGTTCAGAAAGCTTCTTGTCATTTGCATGACTTTCTCTCTGTGAAGTCCATCACTTTGCCCTTTCCCTCATGTGAGAATTAACATTCCTTCTCCTCCGACCTCAACTTTGCCCCACAGAATAGTCACTGACTTCTGGCTCTAGGACTCTCTGAGTTCACTCCAAATCAGATTGGCTTCTTCACTTCCTGTTTCCACTTTCTATTACCCTGGCCAGCATTGTGCCCATAACAAACAATGATTTTATCTGACTGTTCAGTTAATTCCTCTGCTAACAGAAATTAGAATAACTTGGCACTGGGTCAGCCAGACTAAGTCTCCTTTCACCATTTCTCAACTGTCTCTCAAACAAATCTCTTGTCAGATTTTCCAACCTTCAGGACTGAATTACAATGCCTCCAAAGCCAAAGGGGCTTTGCCAGGTTCTGTCCCCCACATCTGACTGAATCATTGCCTCATTTTTCTTTACTATGCTCAAAACCCAAGAAGTGACAGGGCTGACACCCTGCCCTCACCCAGTTCCTGGGATGGCTGTTTCTAGCCTGTTGAGCCCAGGAAACAATGCCTAGTGTGTTCCGCGATATGCCCACTCGCTAGGTCAGAGTACATGCACAACAGAACTTCAGCAACTGCTGAGGCCCGTACTCAGCTATTCTTGCTCCCCTCATCTCACATCTCTCCTCACCTCATTCTACCTAAACCTGTCCCTTTACCCCCAACCACATCCATACAAACCCAGCCCTATAAACGTGGCTCAGCCTCTCCTCAGAGTTAGTAATGGAGGTCTGGTGCGAGCTTTGGAGGAGACCGAGTCAGCAGCTTCCGAGAGGCCATGGAAATCAAACATCCCAACCCACCCCTACCCCACTATACAAACTGGGGACAGAGGTTTGAGCATGTCTCGAGAGCATGACCATATGCAGTACAGCAAATATGGGGGATTTCCTACCATACTCTGTTTGAAAGCAAATATTTTTTTCACTGTTTTGTTTCATTACGATTAACTGTATTACCCTATTCAATATTCTCTTTCGAATGATTTTGTAATGTTCTGTTTTTGATTTGATTTTGCTACATCTGATTGGCTGGATAACTATTGTGAAGATAATGAGATGTACTATGATACCTATTACTGTTATCCCGGTATCCTGCTATGAAATTTGTACCACTTTTACTACATTGTCTCAATTAGCTCTGTTCTGTCTTGTTCTGTTGTATTTTTACTACCTTCAAAATAAAAAAAAAAAGAAATTAATCAGAAAGTTTCCAATATTAGCATATGGCTTTTTTTTCTTTACAATCACTGTGAGATGGCTTTTGTCTTTTCCATTTCCAGATGAGAAAACAGGTTCGAGTAACATTTGCCACAAGTTGGCAGGCTCCACTTGGGCAGGACTTTCCCAGCATCCAAACTGTTTGTCAACAACAGCATTGTTCTCGGAGAAAGCCTAGCTCTGAATCAGTGCTAATGCCCTTGACAAACACAGGGTGCTATAAAAGTAGAGATAGGCACAGAATCTTTCAAATGCCAGGACATCTGATTACAGCAATACATTTACATAGGACACTTTGAGAACTTTGACCATTGACATTTGCTAAGATCTTCTCATCTAATGTCCCTTGTTTTTTTTCAAGCCTTATAAGGAAGTCCTTCTCTTTTTGTTCCAGACAGATGATCTTCTCACCTTCCATCTGCCTGCACCCCAGTATTAAATCTATGCCTTATTGTCTTCACAAAAGCCAATGAGTGGTCTCTGCCTCAAGTCATTCATTTCACAATGTCATACAGTTAGTTAGCTACTAGTAGAGCCTTGACTTGCTTGGAAATCTTTTGACTCCAGTTTTAATATTACATTGTCTCTTAGCAAAGTGAAACTACACACTTATTCTTTATTTATTCAATACATACTCACCCAGAATCTTTTCTGAGCAGGTTTTGGAGAAATTCACAGTGAGCACAAGAGTCTGGTACATGAAGGCTTGGGGATTACTGTCCTGTGTCAGATCAAACATTAGCCAGACAGTCACACAAATAATTCAAATCATACAAGTTTTGGATAGAAGTAAAGAAGGGATGGACAATTCCAAAAGAACATATAAGAGAAATGAGGTTAAGAACTCATGTTAGATGGTTTGGTAATTTTGAAAATGTAAGTATTTAAATAAACACCAAACACAAAAAAACATTTCCCTTCTGAAATCATTATTCGCCAATGATGAAGAAATCAAATGTGTTCTAAAAAATTTTTTTGTTATTTGTGGTAGCTATCACGGGGTTGGATTGCTAATAGCTGCTAGCTGCTTTGGAACACAGAGTTCGCAGTTAAATTTGATACTTAGAATGCACATTAAAAAATCATCAGCTTATTCTGATTTATTTTAGCAGAGGTGTTTTCCCTCTCTCCTTGCCAGGAAAGCATACTTGATGAATAAAGGAATACCTTTATGATTAGAGTAGGAAAAACTTCCTGTTTCCCTAGCCCTTTAGCTAGATCTAAACTAGCTAGATCTAGAAGCTAAAAAATATGAGGACACAGGTCTCTGAGCCCTCAAACATGGTCTCCATTTCAAACAGTAATCGCCCCTCATGTGCTTGCAATTTTGGGAAGTCACTTTGCTGGCTCCCCTCCCCCAACCCTGCAGATCTGCGTATTTACTTTGCAACCTCAACTCATTTACAGCCCTCATGCAGATGTAGAGCTAAGTAACATTTCTTTTCCTCTTACAACAGAAACCCGAAGTATAAATAAAAAAGAGTAAAATAAAAGATAAATAATAGGAAACAGAGACATAGACTTTGTGAAGATGGAAAGGGAATCTGGGGATGGAGGACAAGGAGTGAAGTGAGTGGATAAAAAAGATTTGACTGTGGCAACTCCACATGATGAGTGTGTTATTATGTATAACAAAGATATACTAATGCAAATAGTAATACAAGTTTCATCCATGGTACAAAAAAAAAAGAAAAGAAAATAGTAATACAGGTTTATTATAGAAAATCTGAAAGCGTATATTTCTATTGTATATTTTTGTTTACTTGCCACTCAAAAAAGCCAATGGCTTGAGGACAAGTTGTTGGGACAAGGAAAAACATTTATTTGGAAAGCTAGTGAACCAAGAAGGTGACAAATGATTGCCAATAAATATCATCTTAGGAAACACAGGCATAAATTGCTTTGATGGAGAAGAAAAAGAGGAAAAGGAGGGGGTAATGGGCAGGTGGCAATGTGCCAAGTGGGGTCTTCATCACCTGGGGACTGTGATTCTTTTCTGCTGTAATCTTGACATAAAAATTTTCATCTCATAGGTAAGTCCTACATTTTAAAAAAAGATAAATAGAACAGTGCTTTATTTCCATGCAAGTTAAGCATCATTTCACTTGTAAAGAGTTGCAAATTCTTTAATGTTAATCGAATACCATCAGATGTCCTAGGTTCTGTAAATATAGAGAAAATTATTGATAAGTTTTGTCATTTGTGCTTTTTCAGTTCCTTTTTCCAGAAATAGCTAATATTACAGTTTACCCAGAAACAGCTAATATTAGAGTTAATCATTAAGATAGAAATGGAATGTTTCCCAGGAGAACAAAAGAAATAGTTTTAATCCATTGCTACTTCAGTCAGAGGTTACATTAAACAGTTAAGCTAGTGGGAGACAGCTGTGTGATTCCCAAAACATTTACATTTTTAAAGTCAACTAAAAGCAAGTGAAACTGAAGGGGTTATTTAAGGTTTCCTTCTATTGCATCTCCACTACTTAGTCAAAGTCTTTTTGTTTCTCTGTGTTTTTCAAAATTGTGAAATAATTGAGTTATAGAGAGACAAGGAAGGGCTCTAAACATAGGGTCATCCTCTTTGTTTGGGGTTACTTCTTGTCATAAAGACATGCAAAACCTGAACATAAGGGATTTCATTCCACATTTCATGTTTTAAGCAGAAATACTGTAACTGATACATAGTCTCAGCTTAAAGTCCAATCCCATGCTCATCATTCACCATTTCCCAGATCATATTGACCTCAAACCATATTGCAATAGAAGATAAGCTCTTCCTATTTTAAACTTTCAGGATCAAACTTTTTCCATTTATAGGGCCTAGCAGCAAAGGCAGTGAAATCTGTGTGTTGAAGCTCAAAAGGTTTCCCACTGGCTCATCTTGGGGTCCAGAGAGAGGTAGATAGCTTGGCCTTGGCTCCCTAGGAGGTATCCCATGCAGAAGGAGGAGACCTGAATTCTGACAAAGTATCCCTTGTTAGACTTTAACACTGGCAAGACAGATGTCTCTGTCCAAACCTTAAAGTTATGCCTCCATTGTTCACAGAAGACCAGAAGAAAGTTCCACCAAGGGCTTTGTCTCTATACTAGGATATATTAACTCCTTAGGGAAAAGAAGGCTGAGCCATGCGCTGTCCCTACCTAATCTTTTAGCTTCCATTGAGATAAAGACAGAATCCTCTCCCTACCAACAGAGTTCCCTTAGCCATCCAGTGGAGGTAATTGGTGGCTCTTTATGTAAGCACAGTAGAGTCATTGGGAAAAATGCCACTTGCATTTACTCTGATAGTAAAAAGATTTTAGTACTTAAGGCACTAGTGATGGAAATCCCTTTTTCTTTAAGAATGAGGATGGCTCTGATTTATATATTCACAGTTACTTTGGTTAAGTTTTAAATTCTTTTCAGGCAATCAGGTATATGTCCTTAAATTGCCTGCATTTAAACAAGGAAGAGACCTAGTCAGGAAGCAATAGCTTTGGGCAGGCTCTTGGACCCAGATGGAACCAAGTCAACTAAAGCTGACTAGGTGGCCACTGGTTGCCGACTGCTGCTGCCTGCTGCATGGAGTGTGGGCTCTGTCCAGACACAAGGCATGTGTGTGGGTGGCTTTGGCCCATTTATCTTCTCTTCAGGCCTTCATTGGACACACACATCAGTAATGGCAATTGCGCTTCTGGCCTGGCTGCTCTGCGTGCTTAGCACCTGTGCACAGCCTGGGCCAAGGTGATAGGCAGGGGACAAGAGGACAATGCATACCTGTCCATGGCTGCACCATAAGATGGTTGTGCTGCCTCCCAGAACCCCTGAGTGCATTGACCTCTGTTACCACCACTGGCACAAGCCATGG